ACGGTAAAATTACTGAAACATAAACAGTAACAAAGCTCCGTTAAAATTATTAAAAAACGGTAAAATTACTGAAACATAAACAGTAACAAAGCTCCGTTAAAATTATTAAAAATGGTAAAATTACTGAAACATAAACAGTAACAAAGCTCCGTTAAAATTATTAAAAAACGGTAAAATTACTGAAACATAAACAGTAACAAAGCTCCGTTAAAATTATTAAAAAACAGTAAAATTACTGAAACATAAACAGTAACAAAGCTCTGTTAAAGAAATTGAGGTTTAAAGCAAAACATCAGTAAAAACATCAAGAACACAACAATTCTACTTGCTCAAAATGAATTATTCACCCTGAAAAAATAGTAGGATACCTTAGTGGTGTCACTAGAATGGTTACGATTCAAAGTGACTAACCTTTCGTTCTAACTCTTGTTGGTGTTTGACTTGTACTTTTTCTAGTTCCTTACTGAACTGTTGAAGCAGGTTTTCATATTCTTTATCTAATTTTTGTTTGTGTTCTTCCATCTCCTGACGGCACTTGGCTTCAAGCTAGTTATTAAACAACACTGTCACCAGCAACAAAGAATAGCAGACAAAACTTAGTTACTGGTTAGTAGGAAGAAATAGCAACCAGTAGTTACTTTGATGCAACGACAGAACATTTGACTTACTGCTTTATATTTCTGTTTACACTTTTTTGTTGAATCATTCATTGATACAGATATTCAACCCAAACATCATGTATGCTAAAAGTGATCATTTCACCTAAATTCAATATTAAAGTATGTTAACCCTACGTTACCCAGTACCAATTTTAAATACCTTTCTGCGTATGTCACAAAGTGTTACTGAGTTATTTTCAAAATTTAATTAAACCCCTTCACTGTCAACGTATTTAAATGAAATTAGTATTATCAAGTACATCATGGTTCAAAGTCTTATAATATCTAATTTTTTTTATTCCTTTATTTCAAAAGAAACTACTAAAATAAAAACTTTCCGTTTGCTCTCACTTGAAGTGCAAGTGGCTATAGCAACTAAACTTTAGATCTTGTTATACAAGAAACATCGATGGTTACAAATGTTTTTCTTGCTGGTAATAAACTACATGCACATACAGTAACTTGACACAAATTTCCAGAACTGGACTCGAAAGGAAACCGTTATGGACATTCCCGAGTTCCAGCTATGCCACGCCCACTTGCAAAGTAGAAGCTGGATTGCTTAGCAACTGCTTTTAGTTGAATGGCACGCTTATAACCAATAGAAAGAGCAGATTTTGTCCTTTAAGGTCATTTATCCTTACCCAAAACATATGGTATAGATCTGCTTTCAACGGCAGTAAAACGAGGCTAAGTTCATTGTTGAGAGCGGTGTCCGTAGTGCTTGTCAATTTTCTCTCGCTGTATATGTATTAGTTAGATAGACAGTAAAACTGATTTTAGGTGTTACTTTTACATTTTAGTTAATTATGTATTATTTGTGTTTTAAGGTTTATATTTAAAAGGTTTAATTATATTTTAGATTATTCTATACTGTGAATAGCTAAAAACAGCTTTGAAACATGAGTGCAAAAAAAATATTACACCAGAGGGATTAAACCTAACAGGTGAAGTTACTGCAACATTGGCCCACTGGCACTTAATAAATGACAGGAGAGAAAAATGAATTATATGTGAAAAGATAAAGACTTGAAATTACGCATGTCAATCACAAACGACGTTATTAAAGAAATCGGAGAAGAATTAAAAGGTATGTACATATTTAAATTTCTTAATTTTAAATATTTCACTGCACTTTCCATTCGTGACAATAGCTAGAGTTAGTGATGTCATAGAGAAAATTGGGATTAAAAAATAAACTACCTTAAAAAAGCTTTTGATATTCATTTAGGAGGTTCTAAAGACTTTGCAAGCGAAATATATGGAAACCATAATTAGTATTTTTATACTTAACGTAAAAACCATTTTGCAGGTGAACTATTCAGAGTCTGAGTGCAAATAACTACATTAAATAACGAATTTTTATTTTAAAAAGTATAAACAAAAAATCAAAATTAAATATTTTATTTTTCTAAAACTACATTCAACTTTCAAACACTTTCACCCACTAGTTCTATTTTTGTAACAATATATGATAAGAGCAATGTCGTCTACTAAAAAAAATTAGTAGCCGGTAGTCATAGGGTTAAATAAAACCAATAATGCATACATTTAAGACTCCATATAAAAATTAACCATAAACAGAGTTATAAAAAGATTATTAGTGTTTATAAATACTTAACAGAAAGCTTCATTCATGATGTCAGAAAACTACTTTGGATTAAGAAGTCTTAATATAAAATGATAAAAAAAAAAAACCTATAACTCAAGCACTTTCGAAAGGTGAACTTTTCTTCTCCAGTATGGCCCTGAAGAAGAAAAGTTCACCTTTCTAAAGCACTCGTGTTAAAGGGTTTTTAACAGAAAGCTTCAATATTATTCTAGCTTGAAAGTCATAGTTTTTCAAACATTACCGACATTTTAAAGTTACCTTATAAATTATACAGTTTGTTTCAATGTTATATGATTCAAATTCTGAAACTTTAAAAAAAAAACCCATACCTGAATAAGAGCTTTCTGGTGTAACCTTCGCATACGTTTGTATCCAGACATCTGCTCATGCATCTGATTCTCCTGTTCGTGCTCTTTGATTTGACGACTGACTATGGAAGTTGTTCTAATGGTGGCAAAGTTGTTTGCTCCGACTTCTGTACTATTCAGGCTTGTTGTGGAAGAATTCTTTAAAGCAGAATCATGAAATTTTTCTTTAATAAGAAGGTGGATAAATCATAATTACATCCTTTATAACTTTAAACAAGTCAAGTCAAAATTACAATAACCATTGTATCGAGTAATTATTTTGTTGTAACAAAAACATGTTAACGGTAACTTTAATCACAGTATGGAGTCATCACCTATGGGTCAAAACATTTTAACAAGAATACAACAAATATGGCCATTGTATCGAGTAATTATTTGTTGTAACAAAAACACGTTAATGGTAACTTTAATCACAGTAAGGAGTCATCACCTATGGGTCAAAACATTTTAACAAAAATACAACAAATATGGCCATAGTATCGAGTAATTATTTGTTGTAACAAAAACACGTTAACCGTAACTTTAACCACAGTAAGGAGTCATCACCTATGGGTCAAACCATTTTAACAAGAATACAACAAATATGGCCATTGTATCGAGTAATTATTTGTTGTAACAAAAACACGTTAACAGTAACTTTAACCACAGTAAGGAGTCATCACCTGTGGGTCAAAACATTTTAACAAAAACACGTTAACGGTAACTTTAATCACAGTATGGAGTCATCACCTATGGGTCAAAACATTTTAACAAGAATACAACATATATGGCCATGGTATCGAATCCTCATCTATGGGTTGAAATGTTGTGATTATTAGAATCAGAAGTTCATGTTATAGTATTTTTAATTAATTATTTAGTTCAGTTGGTTCCTAAATAAACACTGAAACAGGTTAGCAGGAAGAAAAACTCATTTTACGAGTGAAACTACAAAACAAATGAGCTTAGATAATAATTTTTAAGGTTCTGTTTATTAAAAGATATTATTCTACCAATATCCATTAATGGTAAATGTAATATAATCATAAGTGAAATAAATAAAACATCCCTTAATTAGTAATAGCCATAATACAGTACTAAGACACAGATGTAAGATATAGCACAAGATTTTAGATTTATAAAACTATCTATAAAATCACTATTATTATCAACACAAATTTATCAGTTCTTCTTACCGAAGGACTGACCCGAACATTCCCTCGCTGACTTCGAAGTGACGGAGGATAGTTGTAACCGGAATCGTTATCAGAAACTGGTGGAAGACTGCTAGTGCTACTACCGGCACTAACCCCGCCACTCTGGGTGCTTGCTATACTGTTACTCTTGCTGCTATCTCCTCCTGCTTGATCATCCTGAAATAACAATCAACACTGTTGTTAAGAAGACACAGATACGTGAATAATTTTAATACCAATACATAAGTTTATATAAAGGCAGACCAATAACACTAACAGGTAAATGCCTTACTTCTAACAATAACAGATGTAACTCTATCAAGTCAATAAACCAAACTCTAAATATTATTCATTTGTCCGAGTTGAAAGTTAATAAACCCTCCTAACTAAAAGTCCGTAAATGATGATAAACCCTCCTAACTAAAAGTCCGTAAATGATGTTAATTGTATTTGCTATATACATGATAGAATAATTATGATTTGAGCCGATTCCAATATAGAGTAAATGGTAAGTTACTTGTTTAGATTAGCCAATAAAGAGTACATGGTAAGTTACTTGATTAGATTAGCCAATATAGAGTACATGGTAAGTTACTTGATTAGATTAGCCAATATAGAGTACATGGTAAGTTACTTGATTAGATTAGCCAATATAGAGTAAATGGTA